GGAAGACCAGTGTTGGAGGATCCGTGGTTGGAGCAACAGCAGAAGGCGGCTCGGCGTGTGGATCTAATACCGGAGTGAGCCTCGGCTGCTGTCCCTCCTGCGACCACGCATGTCACAGCCGGTCCGCTTTATCGACGCAGCGTCAGTGTTAGCGGTGGCTCCGTGGCAGCCGCACTTCGGTCCTCCCTCGCCCTCCTGCTGGTGTTTGTGGCGTCACGCCTTCGCGAGGGATTCCCTCCCTGTCCTCCCTCGACACTCCCTCATTCCCTCACGAGCCCCTTAAGTGTGCCCGTCCCTGGATCGGATTGTCCCCGGCGCTAACCTCCTGCCGAAGATCCTGCCGACGGCGTGGCACCAGCGAGCGCCGCATTGTGTCTGTCCTTCAGGAGCTGACTCTCCTGTCCTGACTGTGTGACCGAAGTAAGTACATCGGTCGTGTATTAGTGTGTTCGTGTGATGCGATATCATGTCTGATCCTTCCATTGTTTATATATATATATATATATATATATATATATATATATATATATATATATATATATATATATATATATATATATATATATATATATATATATATATATATATATATATATATATATATATATATATATATATATATATATATATATATATATATATATATATATATATATATATATATATATATATATATATATATATATATATATATATATATATATATATATATATATATATATATATATATATATATATATATATATATATATATATATATATATATATATATATATATATATATATATATATATATATATATATATATATATATATATATATATATATATATATATATATATATATATATATATATATATATATATATATATATATATATATATATATATATATATATATATATATATATATATATATATATATATATATATATATATATATATATATATATATATATATATATATATATATATATATATATATATATATATATATATATATATATATATATATATATATATATATATATATATATATATATATATATATATATATATATATATATATATATATATATATATATATATATATATATATATATATATATATATATATATATATATATATATATATATATATATATATATATATATATATATATATATATATATATATATATATATATATATATATATATATATATATATATATATATATATATATATATATATATATATATATATATATATATATATATATATATATATATATATATATATATATATATATATATATATATATATATATATATATATATATATATATATATATATATATATATATATATATATATATATATATATATATATATATATATATATATATATATATATATATATATATATATATATATATATATATATATATATATATATATATATATATATATATATATATATATATATATATATATATATATATATATATATATATATATATATATATATATATATATATATATATATATATATATATATATATATATATATATATATATATATATATATATATATATATATATATATATATATATATATATATATATATATATATATATATATATATATATATATATATATATATATATATATATATATATATATATATATATATATATATATATATATATATATATATATATATATATATATATATATATATATATATATATATATATATATATATATATATATATATATATATATATATATATATATATATATATATATATATATATATATATATATATATATATATATATATATATATATATATATATATATATATATATATATATATATATATATATATATATATATATATATATATATATATATATATATATATATATATATATATATATATATATATATATATATATATATATATATATATATATATATATATATATATATATATATATATTATAACTGTTAACGTTCGAAAACAGTATTAGTGTTGCCGCACACAGGTAGGCCCATATCCACGTTACGACATACATGATTTAGTATTCAAAAACTTAAATGTCTAATAAGAGAAAAAAAGTATGTCCGTTTTTATACATTTTGTTCATGTGTTTGTTGGTAAAAGAATGTCTTTGCGTTCTTTATTTGTACCGTTGTGAGTGAATGTAAATAAATAAAAAAAAAAAATACCGGCATATTACTGCCTACCACGAGAGAGCGTAACGTGTACACATTTAGATTTTTTTTTTGGTTAAATAATCGTTTTATTCAGCGATAGTCACATCCTGTCCCAGACGGCTCCAGAAAATGCCAGTGAACACAATGGAGTCCCACTTGAGGAATTATTTGAAGGAGAATTGTAGTTTGATACCATTTGATAAACGCGCAATTGTCATTCTCCATCTCGGCGGAAAGTTTTCTCTCAGTTAAATAATCTTATCGATCCGTAAGTGCAATAAACCAGGTGCAATAAG